ATGATCGCCCAAGCGTGTATCGCGCACGGCATTTAACTGACCGATTGATTCACGTGCCGTAAATTCTATTGCGAAGAGACTGACTTGCGTAATAAAATCTGAGATCGCGTATGTACTGAACCAGTGTTTCTCAAGCTTTTTAAGCAACGGCACACCTATGAAAATATCTCGGCACACTTAGCAACATTTTTAAAGGGTATACATTTAAATGTTATGAAATAAATCCATAGATCTTTTTTTTTTAAATACACACATACATCTGAACTTAGTTTAGTTCAATGCTTTTATTCAACTATCTGTGCAGCTTATTTAGCCAAACCTGAAGTTACAGATCATATTCGACATGCTGCGTAATAATGAACAGTTGCAGGGGCGGATCTAGCATTTTCTGGTAGAGGGGGTCGTGTTCCTCAGTAAATTCTCAATTCAAAATTTTTAAATTCCGTGATATATTAGAAAGTGTTCATACATACATACATACATACATATATATTTATATATATATATATATATATATATATATATATATATATATATATATATATATATATATATTTGAATAAAAAAAGACAGACCACGTTAAGATTCCATGTAATAAGCTATTTCACCATAACCCCTTTAACAGGGTTCTGGATCATCAGACTTTACTTCCAAAAGCTGAAATGAAAAATGAAAAGGAATTCACACGTTTTTTACGGACCTCATCAAGTATACGCAAAGTTAACGAAGTGACGAAGTGAGGTGGGAGAGAGGATATGAGTGTGTCATATGTATCATTTTAGTTTCCTATTTTAACCCCAGTGTGTCGGCTAGATGTTGCTCAAATTTAACGCGTCTCGTCTCTAGATAAAGGTGGCTAAGGGGTGAATGATAAGAACGACATTAAAAGAAGACGTTACAACAACCCCAATAAATTACACGACATATATATATATATATATATATATATATATATATATTGATGCATGTTTCATTAAATAATATAGACAAGTGTTGTCTATTTAATGTAAATTCTTTTCATATCGTCTGATAAGCTTAATAACATTATCATGAAGCGAAGAAAGAAAATCACAATAATGATTTTAATCCTATATTCCAGCGTATTGTATGCACGAGTTTGTCGTTGCTTGGAAATCTTCCATGTAAACAGAAACAGACTATCATCGTTGTTTTGTCAGTGTAATGTTTAATATATTGTAATGTAACTGTCATCTTTGATAATGGCTTATGTAAGCAGAAAGCTTAGATAGGATTAAAAAATATGTATCAATATTGTGATTTTCTTTCTTCGTTTAATGATAATGTTATTAAGCTTATCAGACGATATGAAAAGAATTTATATAGAATAAATAGACAACACTTGTCTATATTATTTAATGAAACATGCATCAATGAAAAGTGATGCCTAAATACACACAATATATATATATATATATATATATATATATATATATATATATATATATATATATATATATATATATATGTGTGTTTTTTTATTTATTTGATATGGAAAATTGTAAATTCAAACTTTTAGATTCAAAGTGTGATAATATAGCGTTTATGAAAGGATTTGCTAAAGTCAAATTTCGTGGATTCTTGTTTGCATAGAAGTTCGCGATTTTATCACAGTCTAATTGAATGTCTTTGTGAACACCAGTAAGATGTCTGTCACCATGACTGTATAATTTAATTGTGACGCCATTTTAAATAACACAAAATTAAATGTTTCTCAAAACGAATGGTTAAAAAACTTAATCAATGAACTCAATGAAAATTGAATAGTTTAATGTTTATTTGTTGTTGTTTTTTTTTAAATATAAAACAGATATAAAATAATTTTAATGGCGCGTGGCCAAATGGTTAGAACCTCAGCCTTTCAACCATAAGACCCAGTTTCGAAAAGCACCAGGGGCGATATGTCACGGAGACCACTTCTTGGTAATATCGCTGCGAGGTGACGATCCCAGCATTTGGGAGGGGCCTGTTGACCATTAAATGTTCTGTAGATTTATTTATGCTGATGGGCTTAATACACACTGATTAAAATATAAATTAAAATTGAACGACTGTTTCAAATCCGAGCATCTACTATAATAACGTTTGACATATTAAAAATGTCGGATTAAAAATAAATCCATTAATTCTTTCATATATATATATATATATATATATATATATATATATAGATAGATAGATAGATAGATAGATAGATAGATGGAGAGTGAATATATATATATATATATATATATGTGAACATTGAAGTCAACACTCAGAGGGCGACAGGCTGTTTCATGCTAGACGCAATCGTCGGGCGACCTGACGATTGCGCCTAGCATAAAACAGCCTGTTGCCTCTGAGTGTTGACTTCAATGTTCACTTTTATATTTATATTTACATACGCTCTATCTCTGATATTGAGCACTTTATCCCATAAATATAGCACACCTTAAAACTACAGTTCTTCATATATATATATATATATATGTGTGTGTGTGTGTGTGTGTGTGTGTGTGTGTGTGTGTGTGTGTGTGTGTGTGTGTGTATATATATATATATATTCTAAAGAATTCATGGATTTATTTTTTTTTCTCTGACGATCGCTAAGGGCAAAAAACCCAGGATCCCAAACTCACATCAACGCAACTATATATATATATATATATATATATATATATATATATATATATATATATATAATATAAACAATAAATTCCAGAATCACCTCGTATAGAGAATAGCGTATTTCGGCAGACGAAGATATTGGTCGTCTGTCTTATCAACACCTTTGTGGACTGAGTTCGTGTCTATACAGATGTGGGGACGGGAAGTAGAATTTAACTGTGAAAACCAAAAAAAATCAACCTCTCGAAAAACTAATACAGAATTTATTCCATTTCAATGTTTCAGTCAGACGAAAGGCATAAAACAGGGATCAGGGGAAGATGGAAGTTATTTGTCTTAAAGGGAAGAAGTTTATCAAATTAAACCTGAATATTAACCTTATGACATAAATTTGGGATTATATGAAGAATGAAATATGAATTTAAAATTAAAAGAGGAATAAAAAGGGTTTTAAAAATAACTTTAAAATATATAAACAAAAGGATGTAAGGGATTAATAGAAAGAGAGTTGGGGTGATCTTAGAGTAGGGGAAACTTTATAAATTATAATTAATATTGTATAAAGGGGTTATAGAGGGAGAAATATAGAAATTAGAATTAGTTATACATTCAACATCTAAAGAGTTATTGGGGAATGAGTATTATGAGTAGCTAATTAAGTTAGACCTATATTATGGAAATTTGAATTTGTTTTTATGTCGGCATTTTAACACTAATTCATTCCTATGATTTAATAGTTAGCTTTGATTATTGTATTTTATTATTCTAATTTTTTCTTCCAAACATAAGTCACACCTATCTCTAAGATTATTAGGAGCAAGTGCGGAATCTATAATTTTTCAAATTATCTGTAGGCTCAAACCTTTCTCCTTCAATTCCCAAAATCCTTTTGAAAGAGCTATCTGGTGTTTTAGTTTAGGGTTAGAAAATGAGCGCCTATGGGTATAAAATCTCTGTTTCCATTCCCCACCCTCAGAAATTCCAGTGTAAACATTATAATTTTTCATATTTTCTTTGGGGGATATATATATATATATTAATTAGTAAATATGCATATTATCCCAAGTTGATAGCACGACTCGGAGTTTCATGCGGGTACGCAATCTTCAGGTGCAGAATAATCACTGACCCTTAAGCGTATCCGCATGATACTCCGAGTCGTGCTATCAACTTGGGATAATATGCATATTCACTAATATATACTTAATAGCTTTTTTATATAACATAGAGCACTGTTTTTGTAACACATGAGAAAAAATATGTATGTTCGTGCAAGTATATGTGCGTATACGCATGTTTTCATCATACCCATATCTATCTATATATATATATATATATATATATATATATATATATATGTGTGTGTGTGTGTGTGTGTGTGTGTGTGTGTGTATCTGTGTGTGTGTGTTCACTTTAACCATTATTTTAATCGATACCCATATTTGAATAGACGCTCCGTTTATTTATTAAACAGTATATTTATTTAAAGAAAAAGATGCGTTCAAAGATTTCTCAAATATTCAGGTCGGTAGAAATAAATAAATAAATCTACTGTTTTAATAAATAAACGGGGCGTCTACTGAAATATGGGTATCTAATAAAAATAACGTTTACTTAATAAAATCTGTCGGATTAATAAGTAAAAATTCATAACTCCTTTATAAAATATCCGTATTTTAAACCCTGCCGACAGGGCAACCTTTTTTTATGTTTTCATATAGTGTTAAATTCTACATTCAATTTTCTTTTGAATTCATTTTTTGACAAACATATGTATTCGGTTTCCTTCATGTTACAAACTTCTCTTCTTGATGCAGTGACTTAAAAAAAACAACTTTTATAACTGGTAATCTCTTTAAATTATTACCTACTCAATAAGAAAAGGGTAAAGCAAAATCCATTTAACAAAGATTGCCAAAATGTAATTGGAAAATGTTTCCAAGCAAAGGAACAATTAAAAGTCGCCTGAAACCATCTTTCACGCTATAGTTTTATCATAATAAGCGTAAAAGTCAATAGGTTGAAATAGTTTTATTAAAAAGTTTCTTAAATATGCGTAACAACTTCTTCCTCTTCTTCTTCTTCCTTTTTTGTTATTCCTCTTTTACTTCTTCTTCCTCTTCTTCTTCATGTTTTTTTCTTCTTTCTCTCCTTCTACTTCTTCTTCTCCTTCGTCATATTCTTGTTCTTCTTCCTCATTTTCTTCTTCTACTACTACTACTACTACTACTTCCTCTTCTTCTTCTTCTTCTTCCTCTTCTTCTACTTCCTCATATTCTTATTCTTCTTTTTTAAATCTTAATATTTACTAAATTTATCTTAGTCAGATATAAGGCCTCGTTGGAGAGAGATGGTATTGCACTTAAAAACAATACTAGATAGATAGATAGATAGATAGATAGATAGATAGATATGAATTCTTCCCTGTGCACCACTAATACTTTACTTTCTAGCAACATATGCATTTCTCATCCCATACGGTGGCCACATTTCAATTTAATACTCTATCGGGGTGGTCAGAAAGCCATGGCTTGCGGCGCACGCGCAGTCAGGCAACATGATTGAAGTGACATTGTCATAATGATTTTATAAAACAGTGGCTTGTCACTCATGTTCAAACACGCATGCGCGAACATAGAATTATTTTGAAAATTTTTGGTAAGGATATTATCCTTTGGGGCATCCACTTCGTTAATTATGGAATATATATATATATATATATATATATATATATATATATATATATATATATATATATGAGAGAGAGAGAGAGAAGGAGATGTGTGTCTGTAGACGTACGGAATGTACAACAGGGTGCTGTAAAATTGACACACTTTCTATCATGATTCCTCTTGTTCAAAAATTAACATTTACGCGTCCTAAGACAGGAATCGAACCTGTGTCCTATACGGAACCGTCATATACCCCGACGTGCTTTACCGAATTCTGCCACGTTCGGTCGATTTTACTGTTTTTAAACTACAATTTTCCATGATTTTCTCGCTTACATTCATATCTGCTCGATGCGTATCCAAATGTAAACAAATGGCGTCAGACATTATGAAATGGACAAAGTCCGACAATTATTTTAAGACATTTTTATGTTTATACATTCTTTTTATAGATATAAATATTTAAGTAAATGCTCTGTTTATAACAGAATTAACAAGATTTACATATATATATATATATATATATATATATATATATATATATATATATATATATCGGTATCCGGTGGCATATAATCCAAGTGAATAAAATATTAAATAAAACTGATTCAAACATAGAGCTCAATGTTTTTGTAATAAACAGAGCAATATATTTCATACAATCGGAATTAAGATGTCATTATGTAAACAGTCAATGGATGATAAATTTTTGAAAAAAAAATTATCATTCATTGACTATTTGAAAGATGCTGTTAATTTAACTTTAGAAGGTGAAAATGATCGTTTCCATAATGGTATCTTAATTCCGATTGTATGATATATATATATATATATATATATAAGTGAACACTCTGACAACACTCAGAGGCGACAGGCTGTTTTATCCTAGGCACAATCGTCAGGCCATCTATCTATATATCTATATATATATATATATATATATATATATATATATATATATATATATGTAAGGGTTCAGCAGTTAACCACCACCGCCTGAAGAAGCACCTACAGTGGTGAAACATGATTGCATTTATGTAGCGGTCTATACGATGGTTTTGTTATAATTTTTACACACACACACACACACACACACACACACACACATATATATATATATATATATATATATATATATATATATATATATATATATATATAATGAATATAAATATAAAAGTGAACATTGAATTTAACACTTGGAGGCGAATCATGTAATCATTTCTCAGTCGACCTCCGTGTTGTATGCATTCATGTGTTGTGTTGTGCTTTTCTTTTCTAATTTTATTATATTGTGCCTTTTTTCTCTTTATTAGCCCTTGTCAGACATAGATCCAAAAAAAGCTAGCAATGATACTGGTAAAAGAAAAAGAAAAGTTAAGAGAAAAACAATTGTTGATGATATTGTCTCTTCCTATTCAGTTTCATATAGCAAAATCAATGATCTCTACTATTCTTATAAATAAAGAGACCATCATGTCTTTCCTTCTTTTTTCCAAACAATAACATCTCTTTCCTTCCCCTTTCACTTACGCCATCAACTCTCATACTTAAAGGTACGCTAAAATTAAAATGTTCGTCTATATTTTATCTGTTTAGTATTGGGCTTATTTATTTTTTTCTTACATTTAATAATTTTTATTAGTTTTGTGTATAAACTTATAGATAAAGTTTAGCAATCATGTTGAAACCAGGAACGGAGTAATCCATTTTCCATTGTTTCCTACTGGAAGAATAGTTTCGGTTTACGAACATTTCGGGTAACGAACGGGCTTCAGGAACAAATTAAATTCGTGAAAGGAGGTTCCAATATATATATATATATATATATATATATGTAGTAGCGAGCATAAAGATCAGAACGATATTAAAAAGTCTAAATGTGAAATAACTTTTTATTTTTAAAAAAAGGAAAAATAACGATATAAAAATAAATTATATAATTCCAAAATATAAAGGTCAATAAACTTATTTTGATAAAGTTATAAGAATAATTATATAACATTCGAAAAAATAGATAATCAAAAACATCGGAACGATTAAATAAATCCATAAAATTTAGTAATTATTTCGCATTATTGAAAATTTTTAGGGTAAGAATATAAAATCGGGTATTTTACTAAATTACACCGGCTCTTTACTGACTCTTGCATTGTAAAAATGGTGAAAAAAATCTATGACGTCTTTGGAATTTCGAAAACTGATAGTCAAGTTATATAATGAAGATAAACTCTCGATTGTCTATTGGCACGGAATATATACTTGAAAACACGGTGGATAAAATAAGTAAAGGTTTATTGTAAAAATCAGTACAATAAGAAAAAAGGTAACAGTTATGCTCAAGGTCATCACAAGTCAATCCAGTAGTGAATGCTACTAATGGAAGGTCGGTAGTCCTCGCGTAAGTCTGAGTCGTATTCAACAGATCCCAGCTAGACTCTGTAGTCCGTTGACCTACAGATACCTACAGGTAGCTACTACCCATAGTGTAGTCACTCATGGGGGTGACAGGTTATTCCATCACATCAGAAACGTATGCGAACAAACCGCTATACCTTGTTAACAAATATTTGCATTTAAAATTGAAACCGGGATGTTTGTCTGTTTTCTCACGCTCCTCTGTGGCGAAATTGGAAAAAAGCACGTCAGGCTATATGACGGTTCCGTATAGGATACAGGTTCGATTCCTGTCGGAGGACGCATATTTTCTATGACAATTTCTCGGACATTCAGGCCGGTAAATATTGTTAATACTGTTTATTATAAACAGAGCATGTAATTAAATATTTGCATCTATAAAAAAAGAATGTATAAACATAAAAATATCTTTATATATATATATGTATATATATATATATATATATATATATATATATATAAATTGCTAGTTATACCACCCTTCTACATCTCTTTTTTCTTTACTTCCCTTTTTTTATTTTTCCCTTTTTTCTCCTTTTCCTTTCCCCATATCATTTCCGTTGAGTTGACCGATTAAATACGTTAATGTCTGATCCTTATTCCCTCCTTCCTTAATATTAAGTATTATAATAAAAAGAAATATAAAAATAAATTTTAAAACTCCCCCTTCCCTCTCTAAACTCAACCATGTCTCTCACACCATCCCTCACCACCCTCTTATATAAGCTCAATATTGTCCGTCAAAATTTTAATTTCATTTTTCGTTTCATCTTCTGAAAGTGATATCTTAAGATCCAGAAAAAAATAAAAGTCTCTGGTGAAATAAATTATTGCAACGGAACCTTAAAGTGGTTTGTTTTTCTTTAAATTAAATTATTCGCTCTGAATAAATATTGAGCTCTCAGGATTTCATCCTCCTTGGGATTATCCATACGGATTACCTAGATTTTCGTAACTTACTTATATATATATATATATATATATATATATATATATATATATATATATATATATATATTTATAAGCTGGAAGAGACTGAATACGCAGAACAAAACCGGTTTTACTTTTTTTTTTTAAATAAAAACGATATCAACTTTCTAATACACCAAGTATCGTAGATTTTTGGGCCGTTTTTTTTTTTCCTCTCCGTTTCCATCAGAATAACGGGATAAGATTCACCCATTTTTTTTAAATGGAAGTCAGTTGCTACTTCATGTCCACACCCATATATATATATATATATATATATATATATATATATATATATCCCGTGACCCGTAGAAGCACCATGTAGAAGTGGTGTTTCTTGGAGAAAGTGGTGTTTCAAGATTGTTTGACGGAGCCTAACCCTCCCCAGTCCGGTTTTGAATACAGATTTCTTTTTCTTTCTCATAGACCGGGGCGGGGGTGGGGGTGAAGAAGAGGATTCATACCTTTCCCAAGGGTATTAGCACGTAAGAGAATGTAATGGATCCGACTGGAATTCGAACTCTCCGATTCCTCAACCCGAGCCGCTATCAATTACCCCCACCATGCAGACACACCCATATACACATTTTGAAATGCTGTTCTCTGTAGTGAACGATATTTTATTCAATGTCAGTTATTATTTTTTTATTTTGATAACTTCGCGTATTTTAAGTTATTCCTTGCAATGAGTGCCAAATAATATTTTGGTATTATCTGTTATATCTGGTCTGCTGCTCCTGCTATTCATTTCTACCTTCTTGACAAAATCCAAAGAAGGATCTGCAATCGATCCTGGCTTGGCATCACAACTTCACTCACTTTCTCACCAACGTGACGTGGCTTCTCTCTGTCTTTTCTACAAATATTTTCAGAGCAACTGCTCTGACGAACTTTCTCCCTGATGACACGTCTACATGAATTTAAGCATGTTACTAGATAGGCATTTAGGTCTCACCATTTTACTGTTGAAATAGCTAAATGCAACAGCCATTTCTACTCCAACAGTTTCTTTTTCTCGCACTTCTAGCCTGTGGAACTCCTTTCCATTTATTTTCTTCCTTGATAACTGCAATCTTCAAAAATTTAAATTCAAAGTCAATCGCTATATTCTGTCATTGAATCCTGTTCATCTTTTGTCCTCTCCCTAACCCTCCCTATTCTCAGTCTTTTCTTCTTGTAACCCCCTTGCGTACTAGTGGCATTCCCACGTTGGTTGGGGTGAAATGATTTTAAAAAATCTACTAATATTTGTCTTATATTGGTACTTGTATTTTATTTGATTGTCATATGATGATTGAAATGTATACCTATTGTACTAAGTTTCAATAAGTAATAAGTCAACCTACAAGAGAGGGTGGTTTTTAGGTAACCAATGTAAGAATTTTTTTTTTTTTTTTTTGTTTATT